TGTGGACAACGTGGAGAGGGTCCAGAGGAAGGCCACCCCCATTATCAGGGGTCAGAAGGGCAGGCCTTACAAGGAGAGGCTACGGGACATGAACCTGTTCAGCCTCCACAAGAGAAGGCTGGGGGGGGGGCGTCTAGTGGCCATTTACAAACTAGTCAGGGGGGACCAGCAGGTGCTGGGAGAGTCCCTGTTCCCCCAAGCACTACCAAGAGTGACAAGAAATAATGGTCACAAGCTGGCAGAGAGTAGATTCAGGCTAGATATCAGGAGGCGCTACTTCACTGTCAGAGCGACTAGGATCTGAAACCAACTTCCAAGTGAAGTGGTGCTGGCTCCTACCCTGTGGGTCTTTAAAAGAAGGCTGGATGAACGCCTTGCCGGGATCGTTTGACTCCAGTACTCTTTCCTGCCATGGCAGGGGGTTGGACTTGATCTGCTCAGGTCCCTTCCGACCCTACCAACTATGAAACTATGATCTCCTTCCTAGAGATTGAGAGAACTCCAGGAAACTTCCAGGACACTTGAAACTAGAATCCAGAAAACGACAATCCTAACTTGGTTTCAATGCCTTTGACAACAGTGGGAGGCAGTGCAAATGGGTAGCCTTAGCACCATTTGCAAAGGCTAAAGAGATATGACAGCTATCTTAGCTGTGGGCAGCCTGTGGCTTCTAACCATAACAGAAGGCCTAAAATACTTTGAAGTAAGGACAGACTTGATAAAGATGCCACCAAAGTTTAGGCAACCAAGAGAAACTGTAAAACAAATAGAAATAGGAAGAAAAAAACGAAAAAAACAAAAAACCAAACCAAACCAAGGTATAATTATGTAATTAAGAAATGGCAACTACATGTACTACTAGGCAAATGAACTAAATCCTCTGCCTCATCCTAACCTCTGTGGCTGATCCTATTTTCTCCCTTGCCAGTGCAGCCTCGAGCCTACAAACTCTTAATGTCTTATATGATATCAGAAATGCAATGACACACCCATGTCTGGTCACAAAGCCCTCTTAGTTTCTGAAGCTCATTTTGTCCTTTGCGTAGGTCTTTTTCTGAGCCATTGAGTCTACTGAGGTGAACTTGCTAGAGAAAGACAAATGGACTCCGCAAGCTCATAGGAAGTTGGAGAGTACTTATACCCAGTTTTTCCGTTTCCCATGGAAAAAAATGGAGAAAACCATGGATTTCCCCCCCTTAAAAAAAGAGACCCATAGATTTCCCACTTTTGTAAAGAGCCCTGCAGGCTGGTTGAGCTCCAGCCTGCAAGAGCTGATTGCAAAAAGGGCAGGTAATCCCTAGTCCTGCCCAGAGGAGGAGGGAGAGGGGGAAAGGTGTGACCTGATGTTCTCAGTCACCCAAGGCTTGGCTTAGGCTCACTTTCCTTCTTGGAGCCTGTGAAGTGGGAAGTAGGGCTTGCAGGGGTCTGAGGGAATGAGGAGAAGTTGGGGAAAGAGATGGAGTGTTAGGGAAATGTTTTCAAGATTTCGCAGTGCTCTGTGCTGCATCAGGTCACGAGGGAGGGAACCAGGGCTTCAGGGAACAGCAGTAAGCTTCCCTCCCCAGTGGCCCGGCATGGCAGAGAGCACCAGAGCCATGCAGGAATCTCCTTCCTGCTGTTTGCCCTGTGCTAATCTGCTTTCTGCATGTGGGACTGCAGTGAGAGCAGTGACAGGCACAGGAGGCATGTCACCAGGGCAGTGGTGGGGAGATCTGTGCATGGCTCCGCTGCTGCCTGCTGTGCCAGGCCGCATCCACCGGGCTGGGGAGGCCCTAGTAGAGGGAAGCAGAGCAGCAGGGAACAGCAGCTAGCAGCAACTCTGCTACTCTCTGCTGGCCTGCTTCCCTCCCTTGGGACCTCCCCAGCTCAGTGGACATGACCTGGCAGAGCTTATGACAGAGGAGCCGCACAGGGATCTAACCACTGCTCACCCTGTGTTGCCCTGGCAATGTGCCTCCTGCACACTGGGCTGCAGTGAGGGCAGCAGCATGGGGATGCGCCCCTCAAAGCAGCAGCACGAGCAGAGGGCATGTCGCCAGGGCAGCACAAGGGGAGCAGTGGCACAGAGCTTCTCCATGAAGCTTCACTGCTTCCTGCCACGCCAGGTTGTGTGCACCAGGCTGCAGAGGCCTGGGGAAGGGAACAGCGGAGCTGGATGGAGAAGCTGCTAGCTGATGTTCCCTGCTGCACTGATTCCCTCCCCTGGGGCCTCTGCAGTCTGGCAGGCGCAAGCTGATGTGTGAGGTAGCAGAGGAGCTGTGTGGAAAACCTGCTCACTGCTGTTCGCTCCGCGCTGCCCCAGCAATGCGCCTCCTGAGTGCGGGGCTGCAGGAAGGGCAGCAGCGTGGGGATGCACCCCTCAAAGCAATGGCAGGTGCAGGAGGTGTGTTGCCAGGGCAGCAGGGAGGATCAGTAGTGGCAAGATCCCCGTACAGCCCTGCTGTTCCCTACTGTGGCCGGTCATGCCTGCTGGGCTGTGGAGGCCCTAGGGGAGCAAAGCAGGGTGGGGGCCTAAGCCCATATCCTGCGCCTACCCCCTATATAGACCTGGGAGGCATGGGTCCCTCTTCCCCCCCCCGGGAGCGTGCACAGCAGCAGGGAGCCAGCTCTGACCCAGCAGGCAGGAGTGGGGGCAGGGGGCTGCAGACCCGAGTCTGTAGCCTTGGCAGCTGGGGGCCCCCTCCAGCACAGCTGGGCGAGTAGGAGCTATGGGTGGGGGGCAAGGGACACCAGCAAGGCTGTGGAGGCTGCGGGGGTGGGGGGACTGCAGGGGTTTTAATAATGGATTTTTGGGTTTTTATCAGAGAATTTACAACTTTTTTTTTTTATAAGAGAATTTGCTATTTTATTTATTTATTTATTTAATCAGGGAAACTAGGATTTCTGCTGATGTCCTTAGAAGACTTAGGTTATTCTAACTAGAAGCTGCGGGAATTATACTGAAAACTGTGGAGTCCTAGAGAAAAATCAAAGTGAGAACAATATTTTACATTACCTTTTCCAGGTAGCATTCAGAGTGAAAGTATTTTTTGGCAAACCAAATTTGGTAGCAGTAGCCTAATTTTCTCCAAGATATATGGCTTTTACACCCATCCCCAAACATATCAGAAGGAAGAAAAGAGTTACACCAGCACTCCAGGTTAAGGACTGGCAGAGTTAGTGCTGATACCACACAAGTGGAAAATGATTTGAAAAGAAAAAGGAAAGCAAAACATGCAGCTGTGGGAAATCTTAGTTCTTCTCAGAGGAAGGTTTCCCTTGGGCTCCTGTCAGCAGGTTTTATTTTTCCTTCTAATTATTCTCTTTCAAAAATTCAGTTAAATGAACTGTTCTGTTGCCCTGATTTGCTGGATTTTCCAGCTGAACTGTGGTTCTCTGCAGAGAATGGATCCCAGAGATGAACAGTTCATTCCTGGGCTGAAAGCAACAGGAAATGAACTGCTGGGGCTGAACTCAGCAGGCTAGTCTGCAAAATGATGCAGTCCCATTTTAAATCTCTTCTATAGCAGTTTATGGGTCTGATTCATCTCTGTTCTACTCCTGTTTGAGGACAGTGTGACTTCATTAAAGTAACTGGAGTCACACTGAAAGAAAGCTAGAGTAAGGCCATAGTGAATCATGCTCAGTAATGGAAAGTCACAGTTCCTATAGAGGGCTAACAGCTTTTGGGCTTTACCAAAGGAAGAAGCATCACTCCACTCCCACTAACACATATAAGCTCCATCAAGTGATTCAGTCCTGGACTATTATAAGAATCACATGAGCACTTTAGCATAGTGTGATGAAAAACTATGGAACATCTGAAATAAAAGGACCAACACATCTGAGTAATTGTATCAAATTCCTTCCTGTTCAAAATAAAAATCAAAATAGTCCTGGGTAGGCCAGCCTCAGCACGATGTCAATAGACCTCTAAATAAAGACTTGTTAATTAGACGGAAGCTATGTTAACATGGCTAATCTTTCTGGAAAACTAGGTGAAAGGGAGAGAAACCAAACATAATATGTGCAATTATATGGGAATGAAGCCTCCAAACAACTTTTCTTGAAAATGGATGGTACCTCTTGATGGTAGCTGGAAGCTAACAAAATAGGTATGCAAACAAGTTTATTTATTTTAATTAAATTTTCTGTATTCCAAGCCAAATTAGCCAAAACAAATTCCAAATCCACGAGTCAATCCAGAACCATAAGCAGCCCTACTACCAGCAAACATCCTCCACCCCCATCTGGGGCTTTCATATATTTCCAAAATGCTTGGTGGGTATCCAACTTGCAGGCCGAAGCCTGGAGGCTTGGAGTTCAGGTAAGTTTTGCTTGCCCTCAGCCGTAGGACCCCAGAGGCAAGCCAGGAAGGAGTCTCCCATTTCTATGATGTGGGCTTAAAGCCAAGACCCTCCCACTCCAGCAGCTAAGTGGAAGGTTTACTATACATTACCTTGGCAGGTACTATCCCCACGCCAAGAAAGCGGTCTTCCCTGGTGTGGCAAGGAAGACTGCCTTCATGGTCATGGTACTTCCTTTGCCAGATAAACATAGACTTATGCTTGATCTGAGCCTTCAAGAGACCGAGAAGTGCAAACAAGTTACTGCAAGATTAGCTAAGGAGTACATTCACAGCACATCAGCCGCTCCTTTCCACCCACATAGGTGCATACTCTCACCCCACTGTGATGGTGAGGTAAACTACTTCATGGTTATCAAGGGATAACAGAGTGCATACTGGCAGTTGCGAAGAAATGGCTAGTGCTCTTTCAATTTGAGCCCTAGTTTACTTTGCAGTAACCCATTTGTATGCCCATCCATATCCTTAGTTATTAGTCACTTCCTTCAGGCTCCTTCTACCCCTGTGCATCCAATCCACAGCACTGGGAGTAGGGCAGGGTGTTATTTGCAGTTACTCAGAGGTCAAAACCACTGGTGATACAAACAATACAGGGGCTTTTATGTTGAAGGTCACCTCATCAACATCAGGAAAAGTTGTATCTATTTCCACTTACTCCACTAAGCCAAAGAGCTTCTTGGGCTCAACAGGGGGTGGGTAGATTATTTCATCTATGTGTTTCTGGTTACAGTTTGCATAGGCAGTAGAGATGTGGATGAAGGCCTCAAGCTTCTGCATCTGGCGAGCCAACTCTATGAGCCGTTGTGTGCCAAGGACATTCAGCTGCAGGGCACGTCTAAATAGAGAGAGAGAGAGAAAGACACAAACAACAGTGGTTCAGCTGGTCTGGACATACTAACACTGCACGTTGTTTTAGTCAACTACAGTTTACTATTCCAGTCAAAAGATGAGAGGCAGAGTGTATCTGAGGAAGAGAAATGGCTCGGAGGACATTTTAATGAAATGCAGGAGGAGCAATATGTTTTCGTATGTACAATATTCAAGCTGTCTACTGCTGGGACAAAACAGTAATTTGGAGGTGGTTTTGCCCAATCCAATGAATGGGAAGAAAAAATCCTATTTAATTTGTTGTGAAAACTAGGGGTGGGGACAGACAAACAAATTGTCCAGAGTTAAAAGCAGAAGTAAGAGATTTACTGAGCTTTATCTGATCTCTGGTAACTGTTTTATGTGTCCTCTGTATCCTTTGATACAGTGGAAGTTAAACCACAATAATTTGGCAGCTGTTTCATTTAAGAATACATTGTCATAGTTCTTCTTTCACTTATGGGGAAGAATGGACTCATGAAACAATTACTGCAGATCAGTTGATTGGGAGGTGAGGGCTTACTGCATATCACCTGATCTGCAGTAACTGTTATATGTATCCACTCCAGCTATGGTAAGTAGAGCAGAACTATGGCAATATACTCTTAAATGAAACAGCTCCAATTCACCTTAATTAAACTTCTGTTCTGTCATGGGAGAGAGAAGACACACAAAACACTTATTGAAAATCAGTTGATGTACAGCGAGTCCACACCTTTCAACACACTCAGTATAATTTGTTTCTCCGTCCATATCCTAAAACAGACAATACCTCCTTGCTGGCTTGTTTGTTAAAACAAACACCTCCTCTCAAGAGAAATACTTCAGAACTGAAAGAACACATATAACCCATGTAAAACCAAATATATACAGGATTCCAGACAAGCACAGAGGGGCCTGCTCAGAGCAATAGATCCATACTAGAAGCTGCCAAAATTGTAGGTAAGAAAATATATGTCTCCAAGATGTGGTGGCAGTAGAAAAGGGCCATGCTTAGCTATTCCTAAGGTCCTCACTGAAACATTCAGGATAACTGGAAACTGTTTTACTGGTTGTTTGTATGGAGTTTTACAAAAGCTCCCCTTATTTAGGGCATTTATATTGGAATAACCCAATTTAATTTCCTTAGCACATAGGAAATTATTCTCAACACTCCGAGAACACAAGAACAACCAATCTATCATACCATTTTGAAATCCTGCCCACAGCCCCTCCTGGTGCTTGAAAGGGAGGTATAAAAAAAAAAAAAAAAAAAAAAAATTTTCCTTTTTA